TCACACAACAAGCCTCCACTGCATCAGTCTCCATTGCAGCGCTTCAACTTTGACACAGCCATGGTGTTATTTTGGACTTCAATGTAAGTGAAAGCAATCATTTTTAGGATCGGGTGATTATTCTATTTTCAAATAGTGGTAACATAAAATGGACTCGACATTGAGAAACGGCCTGTGTTGGAGACAGTTTGGAGGCAGAGTGCAAAAGAGCTTTGGAGGAGTGGGGTGTGTACAGAGCTGGAGCATAGAGCTACAGTCTGACATTATTGGATTCTGATGAGGTTTAATCTGAAAATCTAAAACAGAAAACTAATAAACCGAAACTTGTCTTTAGGTCAAATGTAGGGCACAAACAATTGAAACGGGATTTCCCAAAAAGAGCTAGCTTCATTCCTATAGTAAGTCATTATAGCTAATAATAGCATCAAAATCAAATGACCATATTTCATTTTCAAAGCATGCATCTTACATGCTACAGTATTTGTTGGCTAGTTTACATGATATGGCTTTGTTGTGAAAGCTTGTATACAGCTACAAGTACCAACATGAGTCCAAAAAGGGCACAGTACAATTATAAAGCTGCAGACAGTTGTTCTAGATAATCTTAATCTGATGATGTAAATAAATTATTACTCAGTGAGTAAACCGGAAAGTCTACATTTCCTCACTGTCTAAGCACATCATGTACTGGCTGCGGGGCGGAACTGCCGGAGAAAATGGACTGCTGTAATCTCCTCTAATCCTCAGCACCAGAGAAATGCCTTCAGTCAGGACACACACACACACACACACACACACACACACACACACACACACACACACACACACACACACACACACACACACACACACACACACACACACCATTTAGGGGTGAATTAATATAGTTATATAAAAGACACAAATAGTTGATTGTGTTGAACGTGAATATGCTCACATAAGTGACTTTGGATCTAGTTCGTAATTCTAGTAGAGAAGTGAAAAAAGGGTCAGATTAAAAGAAATACAGGAATGATCAGATAAGTACAGCTACCCACAATTGCTATGCTGCTATTTGAATCCCCCCTGCTTATTTATGTGGTCCTTAGGATTTATCATGAATTCAAGTTTTTTTAATTTTTAATTTTCATTTAAAAGTCTGAGTGTTGTATCTGTGATGCTATTCAATTATGACTATGCTATAACACCCCTTGTGGTGAGATACAGGTAATGTGCAATATATATGCTGTTAATAACTGTGCAATATATACCTGGCTGCTATATCTTTAAAACTGTTACAGATTTACAGTCATTTTTGTTTTATGCATGCTTCCTAGTTAATATGAAGCTATCTTTGGCTCTTTTCTGCTTTAACACATGTGAATGTCCCCTCTGTGGGAAGAATAAAGGTATTCTGTTTGTTTCAATTGTTTCAATTATTTGGCCAGGATAATCATTATATTAATATTCATTCAGTCTGACGGTTTAAATGTCTCAATGTCTTCCCTTCTTCCCCTCTCACAGGGTACAACAAGCCGCTGTTCAGCCATTTGAAGGAGGAACGTTGAACCAAACGACTGAGCAAAAACATAAAGACAAGAGGGATAAAAGAGAGGGAATGACAGACTAACGCAGAGGGGGGGGGGACACTAAGCTGCTGAAGAGAAAGAAAGGTGGGGGAAAAGTGTGTGAGAGAAATCATTAATCTGTCTGCGTGTGTACCTGCGCTGTGTATATATCGGTGTGCACTCACATCTGTTTGTGTGTGTGTGTAGACTGTGTGTCTACTTTCCAAGGTCACTGCTGAGAGCTAGGAGGAGGGGGGGGGGGAATTAACAAGACCAATGGACAATGACGGCGCTAGCCCTGCAAGAAAGACTGCTCTTAAAGGGACAGCTCCGTCAGGACACAGGTTTGCAGGGGAAACTATATTGAGACATGTAGAGGTTTTATTCATTCATTATCTCAGATGAATCAGAGGCATGCAGGGATCACATATGTGTTTTGAAGCAGAACTGGCAAAAGCTAAGGTAATAAGAAAAGAAATAGCCAGAAGCAGTGTGTTTGAGAGCATGAACTGCTCTTGCCTTCAGTAGCACACACACTCTGTGTTAGCCTGCACTCACGTTGAGAAATACCCGGCAGTATCTCAATACAAAGCCTCTCAGGGGGTTTGAGGCGACAAAAGGCTTTTCATTAGTGAGCTATTGACAGAGGATGAACGAGGAGGTCCAGGTGTGTCTCCGTGCAGGACACAATCCAGACAGACAGACAGACCGGCAGACAGACAGACAGACAGACAGACAGACAGACAGACAGGCAGACAGACAGACAGACAGACAGACAGACAGGCAGGCAGACAGACAGACAGACAGACAGACAGACAGACAGACAGACCGGCAGGCAGGCAGACAGACAGACAGACAGACAGACAGACAGACAGACAGACAGGCAGGCAGACAGACAGACAGACAGACAGACAGACAGACAGACAGACAGACAGACAGACAGACAGACAGACAGACAGACAGACAGACAGACAGGCAGGCAGACAGACAGACAGACAGACAGACAGGCAGACAGACAGACAGACAGACAGACAGACAGACAGACAGACAGACAGACAGACAGACAGACAGACAGACAGACAGCCAGTCGTCCTCAAAAGGTTGTGAGTGATGTTGAGGAGTGGGAGAGAGGCTCCCATACCTGTGCTTTAAAAGAAAAGGCAGTGACCCCTCAGAGTCCTATGTTTTCAGGTCGTTCTCCCTGGCTCTGTCTCCCCCTGACTTCACTCGTCTTTAACAAGCTTTTGACTTCCTTTCTTGCTCTCACTTTGCTTTGTAAGACTCAGTACCTCAGAGAGCCGTCATTGTGAACAGCTCAGCAGATTGATGCAGATTCTCAAACCAGATGGTTAAAGCTTTAACAACACCACTTTTTTTATCCGCAAACAGCAGCCATCCGTCATCCACCCTTTTTCCTCCATCGATCTCTTTCCCTCCCTTGGCTTCCCTCCATCCTCTCCCCCGGCTTGTACCGTCTCTAAATCTTTCCTTCCATCCATCCAACCATCCATCTCCTGACAGAGTTTCGTATGCTCTCTTTTCACCTTCTTATATTTGTATTTCCATCAGCCTTCCTTGTTAATTTATCTTTGTTTGCAAGGATAACAAGAGCTGCTTTCTAGGGCAGAAAGTCTGATGTTGTAAATGTGCAGGTGGACAGTGATAAGCTTTATGTACATATTCCTGCTCATACACATGGTGGTGTACATGTCAGCTGAAAAGAGATCAAACGGATGGCTGAACTCATTTGATACTTTTCCTGTATAATAACAGAGAGATCACAAACCTGGAAGCTTGACACAAATACACAGTATTTCAACTACAGTGCCCAGGAGGTCAAATACTAAACGAGTATACTAAAAAGTACAAAAGTACACAACCTATACAAAGCTACGAGTTAACATTTCGCAACTTGTCACTTTTTAAACGAACACTAAGATGAGCATGTACAACAGATGATATGTGTGCAATCTCAGAGTAATCAGCAGGTTTCCAGCTCTTCCTGTGTGTCTGTACGAGTTAGAAAGGCTGAAATGAGAACAGGAAGTCTAAGTGCTTTCTATTTCCACAATGGCCTCAGATGGTGTCTGTATTCATGGACAGTTGTAGTACTCAGCAGCCTGATAGATACAGCGGACAGACAGTGAGAGGCTTGGAAACACTCGGCCCCGGCTATTTTGTAAATCTTTTTTTCATTTACTATCTGACTGTTTACCATCTGCTATCTGCATCTGGTGAGCCTAACCCTAACCCTGGACTGAATGACCACAGACAAAAAGTTGTTTTTCCAGATGATGTGTTACATTACATTTAACATTACATGTCACTTGTTAGACGCTTTTATCCAAAGCGACTTACATACTCAATACTGTGGGCAATCCCCACAGGAGCAATTTGGGGTGAAGTGTCTCAGGGACACAACCACATGCTGACTGCAGCGGGGTTTGAACCTGTGACCCCCTGAACACCTACGGACAACCCACTACGCCACACGCCTCCATATGTCCGCTCAGTTGTGTACATCTGTCCCACACATTTTCTTTGTCGTGTGTCTGACTGACCTGAGAGTAGAAATTAACCATGGTGGTGGTTTCTATGTCCTTCTTTCCCAGTATTTCCATTTTGACTGGAGCGGTTGGGAACTTGCTTGAGAAGTAGTCCAAGAAGTCCGGCAGGTAGCTGGCTTCTCCATGGACGATCCCCATGACGTAATGAGCTGCCTGAAAAAAAAGGACAGTAACACAATTTCAACTTTATTTTATATTGTATAAATGTACTAAGGGCCCTTTTACAGAAACGTCTTAAGCCTGGTCTGATCTCAGTTGAGGATGACATTTAGGTTTGTTTGTATTACACAACATGTTTCCATAATGCATTTACTTTGGATAGGAATTGAGCTATTACAATAACAAACTGTCCTAATGATAGGATTCAGGAATCCTTAATTAGGAGTCCTGCAGAACTCACAGCGCTCCTGCCAGTGGTTGTACAGATCACACATGCACTATAATAAGAGATACAGGCCATTCTGCTGTGCATTTTGAACATGAATACAGGCATGACAGGGCCTAATGAACAAGCTCATTTTCAGCTGTTGTTTTATACGAAAAGAAAGGAGGACTGAGATACGATAGGACACAGCCATGACTTTTAGAATTGCTTCTGTGATGGAAAGATAAGGTTTTGCCTATCTGTAAAACGATAAGATCACACAAGCAGAACACTTTTCTGTAATGAGGCCCCTGGTGAATATCTGACTCTGCCGTACCTGCGATGAGTCCTCGCTGAAAGACAGGGTGACAAACTCCTGGGCGAACCTCTGCATCTGGCCCGGGGAGAGGGAGGAGAGCTGGGAGGTGTAGGCGTGGGCCACCAGGGCCCCCCCGTTCGGCTGCTTCTCTATGTGGATGTACGGGGCAAACTCCAAGCCCGCCATGCCGGGATAGCTGCACTGATGCTGGGGTTGGGTCGGGGCCTTTGACGGAGAGTTGAGGGAGTCGAGGAGGGCGCAGTTTAAGAGAGATTTGGGGGTGAGATGAGGAGAGGAAGGTACGAGATGTGCAGTTTTGTTGTTGGGTGGAGGGTAAACAGGTAGGGGGGGCTTAAATGGAGACAGGGAGGAGTTCGGAGTGACATCAGAGGATGAGGGAGAGGAGTTGGGAGGTGGGGAAGACGAAGGGAGGAGAAACAGGCCGGCACAAATGGTTTGGCAGGAGCGGTGGTACATCTTCACTCGTTTGTGCTTCTCCCCCTCTTTATGTTTCTTCTTCTTTTTCTTCTTCACTTTTCTGATCTGCAGGTCCTCTGGGTTGATCTTGGCCTTCTCTTTGTCATCTGGATAAAGGGGCAGAGAAAGAGACATTACAACTCTGAGGGGAAGACAGCTTCTAAAGGAGACGACATTCTTTAAAGATTAAAAATAGGTCATTTTGAAAAAGCTTAAAGGGAGTAGGGGGACACATAATTCATGCAGACTTTCTAAAAATAAATCTAGTCTGCTGTGTGATGATGGATCAACAAACCAGCCCACGGCTCTTTCCATCGCTCGCTGTAAGAAGACAGCGTTTACTGTCCTCTTGCAATGATGAGAGCTCACAGAAAGCTTTCAGTAAAATGAGGTGAAGTGAAAACAGGAAATCAAGTGCTGAGGATTCGTCAAAGCAGGTTATATAGAAGGGCCAAACACAGAACAATTAAATCATTTCTATCATATTGTTGTATCATTTACTTTCACTGTTCTTAATCACCAAACCAAAGTGATATCTGATAGATTCCCTATTTTAAAAAACAATACAGCAAAAGATAATGAGTCCTAACTATTGTAGACAGATGACTCATTTCTCCTCCCAGGTGGTGTGTGTTTTCGGGGGTGAATGTAGACAAATAATTTAAGAGGACTGAAATAGCATCCCTGGAAAAAAGCAGATATGACAAAGCCAGGAAACAACCAGAGGAATATCTGATAAGAGATAATAACGCACTGATGTGGAGGCTCCATTTACGGCCTGAGTGTTTAGCACAGTGCTACTGTGTGTGTGTGTGTGGTGGTCTGGTGTGATGTTAGTTCACTTGACATGGCTGTGTTTGATTGAGAAACAGAAGAGGAGAACACCGCTGGGGACAAGAGAGGAAGCAGGCAGACGACACACCACAGGTCGTGGGAGGAGGCCAGAGGAGATTAGTGAGATGGACACAAACTCAGCTGCAGAGACCGAGAGCGGAGGACTGTGTTGGACGAGCGGGAGGGACATCAGTAGTTTCAGAATGAACCTATGTGATACACATGGCTGCATCACAGGCGGAGAGAAGAGAGGCTTGACTAATTAGACTCCACTTGGGACCGTGTGAATGAGAAAAGAAGAGGAGGAGCTCGCGCGCCTGTGTCGTGTGTGTGTGTTGTGGTGTGTGTGTGTGTGTGTGTGTGGTGTCTGAGGGACAAGGAAAAATGGTAATCTGGGTAAAACACGCGAAGTGGGAAGTTAGGCGGAGAGGGGAGTGAGACTTAAACGAGTTCACGTGCTTTAAGCAGAAGAAGTGCAGCTGAGTGGAGGATTCGTGCTGTTGTGTTGTGTGTGTGTGTGTGTGTGTGCTGTTAACATTCATTTGGGAAAGTGTGAGTTGTGTGAGTGTGATTTCTCCATATTTAACTTATCGCTCGGTGCGTTTAGTCTCTCTAAAACAGATAGACATGCAGACAGCGCGGAATTATCAGTCCTTACTATGTAGTGATAGTTGTGTAGACTCGCGCGGCATATAAAATATGTAGTATGCATTTGTTTATTTGTTATGTTTTGAGTTGGGTGTTCGGGTTGTGAAATCAAGGAGATATCTGTTTACTAAAGACATCCACGCACTTGGAGCCTTCACGGCGACATAGCGAGCACAATCGAGACTATCTTTTTTCTGCTGATGACACTGCATACACAGCTACACACACCAACTAGCACACAGCATCATCACGCTAGACGAGGACAGGTCAACTAGCAGACACCTCGCATAGATCCACGAAGCTGCTGCTCGACATCTTACCCATCTCGATTATCATCTCCAGTCTCACACTTAATTACAGCCCAGACATGCAACGCTAGCTAGAACGCTAGCATCATCAGCTGGCACTAGCTCTAACGAGGCACACACACACACAGATAAAGGCGGGTATTATATGTTGGTGGTCTCGTAGTGTAGACAAAAAAGTCGAGATGGTCGCGTCAGCTGGAGGTGAGCACTGTTCCGCTTTGGCTGAAACAATCGTGGTTCTTCTGCCGGTTAAATTATGCATTCGTGGTAAACAACCACCACAGACCCATGAGAGATGTTCAAAAGCAAACACAGTTCTAAGTATGCTCTGCTATGTCAGATGAAGGGTAGTACAGCTAGTGTGTGTTGCCACACATGATCGTTGTGTGGGCGAGAACACAAATGTTTGGTAAGCTATGAAGGCGTTAGATTCCATGTTGTGCCACACTCTCTAGTTTCTTAGGTCTTTGACTCAGGGAGACTATAAAGTTGGAGGCTGTGTGGTTTACGGATTGAAGTAGTGTTTCATGCTTTTTGCTATCATCATCTTGTTGAGTGTTATTACTGCGCCTGCGGCAGAGCTTTAGGGAAATGGAGGAGAACAACACAGCCCCGTCCGTGCATGGATCATGCTCACGTTATTTTATTTTATGAGTTTATCACTGACAAGATAACCCAATAGTTAGTTATTGGTTCATCAGTGGACTTGTTTTGTAAAGAAACCTTTCAGGAGACTTCTCTTGTTTGAAACAAGAAAAGGTGTGTGTGTGTTGTGTGTGTGTGTGTGTGTGTGTGTGTGTGTGTGTGTGTGTGTGTGTGTGTGTGTGTGTGTGTGTGTGTGTGTGTGTGTGTGTGTGTGTGTGTGTGTGTGTGTGCTGTTAACATCCATTTGGAAATGTGTTGTGGCTGGTTCATTCTTACCCAGCGGTTGTGTAAACAAGCGGATACATATACTATGTGTCTGTGTGCGCATGAGAGTATTTTTGATAGTTGCTGCCTCAGCATAATTCACATATCTGCTAACACACACACACACACACACACACACACACACACACACACACACACACACACACACACACACACACACACACACACACACACACACACACACACACACAGATAAAGCGGGAATGAGACAGAATGAAAAAGAGCAAAGGAGCACCGTGTGTGTGTGTGTGTGTGTGTGTGTGTGTGTGTGTGTGTGTGTGTGTGTGTGTGTGTGTGTGTGTGTGCGTGTGCGTGTGCGTGCTTGAGACAGCAAGAAGATATTTGCAGTACAATACCAAAGCTACTAATCTGAAAACTCTTTAACACTAGGCACCCCTCGCCCAATTATACATTCTCGCACACACAGAAATATTTTTTGACGTGTTTTTTGTGTTCAAAATGGCGACAAGAGAAGTGTCGCCATGTGAGTGAAATATCGCTAAGCTCAAAGTTGAATTTAAATGTCGATTACCTTTTCCTTAGTAATAATTTGTCTAAACCTATGATTGAACATTTATTTGTCAGTATCCGATTAAAATTGGCAAAAAATAAATAGACTTTATCGTAGACAGACGCATTGCAATCATCGTTTGTGTCGTATGAGAAGGCTTCAATTAACAATTGTCTTTATTATCAATGAATCTGCCAATAGTTATGTTTATTCACGTCTACACAATGTCAGCAAATGTTCTTGTTTTGTTTGACTAACAGTTCAAAAATCCAACAATGTTTAAATCTGAATGATGAATGATGAGACAAACCGCATACCTCACATTATACAATCCAAATGTGTGAATTTGATCACATAGCAAATGATTAAAGTGATCACCAATCAGATGTTTTCATTAACTTCTTGTATTGATCGACTATGATTGACCAGCTATTCAACATTAACTAGCAGCACCCCTGACAGTAAATATCTCCCTGTTCAATCTCGAAAAACGAGAACAATGAAGGGAATATTAACATCAATAAAAGTTCCATCATTTGGGTTCACGGTTTAAAAACATTTAAAACATGGTGGATGTATTTTCCTCTGACATTTAAAAAACAACGCCCAAGTGTGTGCAAACTGGGATGTCACCTCTTTGCTCACACACAAACACACCCATTTGTATAAGAGCGGACCACATGGCTCGACAGTCGCTGTAAGGTCAGATAAGTGACAAATAAAAAAAACACAGCGGGACACACACACACACACCGCCTCAGAGGTAGTAAAGCAGCCCTGCAGTCAGAATAGCTGATCGCTGTGTATTGATTTTCTATACAAGTTTCCTCAGGGTGCCTCTCTCTGTCGTCATTTCCAATTGTAAACTTAACACTCTCTCAGATTGAATTCTAACTTCTCCCCCCTGACTTCACCACTCCAAACATTTTCTAACTTAGCACTCTGATTAAATGCCTCACTCAGTTTAACTGAATATCTACTCTGTGGTGGGGAGAGCCTCCCTCTTGATTCCCACCATGGATCCTGCAGTGTCTCTTTTATTGTACAAACACAATCACATGCTTGTCTCTCTGGCAGGACCACTTTATCAGCCTCTCCCTCTCATACATAAACTCGTACTGCGAAGATGTAATGCCATACCAAGGACGCTTGTCCACTTCACATTCAGTTTGAAGGTTTAAAATGGGCGGTGGTGGAGAAGTCGATAGGGAGTTGGCTTGGCAACTGGAAGGTCACCAGTTCAAGTCCCGGCAAGACCAAGTGCTACAGAGGTGTCCCTGAGCAAGGCACCGTTCCCTACACTGTTCCCCGGGCGCCGTTCAAAATGGCAGCACACTGCTCCTAACACTAGGATGGGTCAAATGCAGAGAAACAATTAATAAAAGTCTATCTTATCTTATCTTATTAGAGGTGCTACACTTTAAAACGTGACTATGGGTCGTAATAAGCTGCTGAACAATCAACCTATTTGGTCGTTTTTTGCAGGAGGACAGGCTGTATATTTGTGG